GAATAAATTATTCATATTACTCGAATCACTGTGAGCGCATTGAAGGCATCCAGTGTGTAAGTGCCTGAAGGACAATGTTAGGCTCTCATTGAAGCAAAACATTTACGTCGAGGAATAGATTTTGAACTGCCAGCATTCTATATTATATATTGAGAAGCATTTCGTCTATGCAAAATACAACCGAATTAAAAGTCATTATTAGGATTCAATCTTAATCAAGTCAAATTCTTTCAAAAACAGATACGATGAAAAACTGGAGAGAAATGTTTCACAAAGACTTTATGCAAGTGATAAACACTTCCTCAGAATTTGAAAGATTTTCTTATTGACTATGTTCCTGAATTAATGAAAACTAGAGAATACAGGAAAAAGTATATTATTGATGAAAGTGTAACAACAGAAGACAAGGGCCAGGCAACAGATCAGATCATCTATATGTTAACTGTATCCGCCTACGCAAAGTCTTTGTTCTCATTTTTCTCACGACCAATATTGGGGACATAAACATTGACGTAAATTACTGTTCACCAACTTTGGCTAACAGCCAGCTCTCACCATAAAAGGGCATGCGTGGTATCCAAACAACCGAAATTAATTTTTCATTTGACTGCAACCGGTATGCATTTTTTAACTTTTTCTCCATATATATGCTTTGATAAACACACACATACAAAAAGAAGTTTTATCTCTTGGTCTAATATTTCGGTGACAGACATAAACACCTTCTACAAAAATTGGATAATTATTATTTCTTCATATGCATTGAAAACTGCTATGTTTCGCAGTACATTGAGTTTAAATTTGGGACGCCAATTTGCACACAGACCAGCTGTCCAGGTGACTATTGCTTAACTATGGTGAGAATATTATACAACAGGTACCGGTTTTACTCAACCCTCACTACCCTACCGAGTACACAAACAGAAACGTGAATGAAATTTTTTTGTGTTTCAGTATCAGGCGCAGTCTATTTTTTTCATAATAATGTATGATTTAAAAAATCACCAAGGATGTATTACTTAGTCTACTATCATGATCAGTAAAATAGTAGGCGTAGAAGTTGTGACCAGTAGGGTGCAGCAGGTCGGGTGTGAGGACAAATACTCACCGAAGACATTGGCTAGGGGTCGCGCTATGTCGTGAACTGGCAGTAGTTAGAATTCATGGATCGGGTGCCAGTAGCTTAATGGTATACGAGGCCGCCAGCCTTGCGTACTGCTCAAGATTCCGAAACTAGGTGGGCGAAACAGCTGTCCAGTACTCAAGTTGGGGTTTTCCAATGGTTTTCTAACTAATATCAGCTCATGATGAAATCTGTTTTATCTAGGTCGATTCTGTTTGTTTTCGGCATAACTACTCTTCAACTGAATGTCTTTCATGCAAATATGTATACGCAAACTATAAGAAATACATTCGGAGATGTGTGGCTGATGATAAAAAAGACTACAATGAGTCTGTCATGCAAAACGACAGGAGCAAGTATTTATACAGTTCAATTTCAGATAGATACAGGTAATGGGTTTGAAAGATTATAAATTAATATTGTAACGGAATACGGACCTGCTGTATCATTATCATACTTAGATTATCACTCCACCAGCTCAATAGTGAGACAGACAGTTTGATGGATATCTCCAGCAGAGCTACAGTAAAAGCAGGAGAACAACAGTGGAACTTTTAATGGGGTGAATTTTGCACACACACACACCACTACCTTACAACGTTACCGTCACCACCAATTCACCAGAATACTTCTGTAAGGTATTTCCTAGACAGGTTATATGGTCTTTGATCGTGATTATCTGACACAAAAGAACGAAACGCATGGAAGATCATAGCAAAAAATAAGCGTGGAGCAATGATTTACGTGATAGAAGTGGGGCGTGAAACATGGATTAGTCACACAAATCATTTACAACGTTGTTATTATACCACGTCCTTACTTGAGACGTTTACACTACCTCCACTTGATGATACAAACTGAAACCAACCGAAACTGTAGAATAAGACAGAGTTTCAACACAGAAGGCAATCCCATCGCAGGCGTTCCTAGACAGTGCGGTTGCAAGTTTGCTCAAAGAAGAAAAGATACAAATTTCGTCTTACACGTTGTATTTATTTTATTTATATTCACCTAATATTTCCAAAATACAACATTTATTCTTAGCAGTAGCAGTACGACAATGTTTGTATTTTCCCCTACTTATATCTTCTGCAACCTCGCCCACTTAACTAGCTTCCTAGTTTTCTAGCCGGTCACAACTCCTGTTATTTTAGAGGGGTTTAGGCATGGGGCTAGCGAACCTACACCACTTAACTACTAGAGAAACTTCAACGCATAAAAAAATTGCATAAAATACAAAAAAATGCAAATAACAAAATTATTCGTCTTTGGAATCGGAAAGGCGAAATGACACAGCCGGCTGGATGGTAAAAACCAGTCTTCGGAAAGCCAGTCAGCAAGCCGATTTGTATTCTCTCGCTCTCTCTCCCTCTCGATAGAAGCAAGAGTAAGAATGGTGACATGGGATGTACGTACAACGCACGAGACCGCCGACTGGGAAGGTTAGCCAGGTAGCCAAAGAAATGAGAAGATATAGATGGCATAGAAGCGCTCGTAATCTGCGAGAGCGAATGGAATGGATGTGGATTATCGAAATCGTAAAGTGCAGAGTGAGTAGTCTACTCCAGTCGGGTCACCGGGACGACAACCACGAGCACACTGAGGCAATGAGTAGCTATAATGATCTAACCAGTGGCAGCCAGACCCCTGATGTACTGGGAACCAGCTTCATCCTGCAGGATGGTTACGGCAAGAGTCAACTCGAAACGGAGGAAGGAAGGAAGGAGGGAAGGTTACAGTTATCCAGTGCTACACACAATCCTACAAACAACGCGTAACAATAGAAGAATGAAGGTTTTTACAGACAACTACGAAGAGTAATGGACAACATTCCGAATGGTGACATAAAAATCCTCATTGGCGATATGAGCGTAAGTCGAGCAGGAAGCAGATTGTGCAGGAAGAAAACTCATCATATCTTGGGAGGCTGTCGCTCGGAGAAATGTATGAGATCGGAGAATTATTCTCAGACTTCCGCGCTTTCGGTGATCTGGTGATCGGAGGCAGCCAACGTGTACAAGCACAAGGGTGTACTCAAAGAAACATGGATTTCGCTTGACGGACATATCACAAACCAGATATGCGTGGTATCGATGCTGCTGAAGGAAGTGGAGATGCAGAGAGCCTGCTGGACACAAATTGTATGAGGGGGGCAGAGGTGAATCCACTCAGACCACCATCTAGTTCAAGTAAGCTCCAAGTTGAAGCTGAAATGCGTCAGACCAACTGGAGACAGACCACTGTAAATCAAGTTCAGCATTCAGAAACTGAAGGACAAATCTAAAAAGGATGCCTTCACTACACATCATATCAGACCAGATGAGATGATATCAGATGAGAGCACAGTCGGAGATACTACGTGGCATGACTGAGGCGACCTGCGTGAAGGAACGTTAGAACTGACTCTCCGATGGTGATGTTCAAGGAAACGTGTACAACATTTGGGGGGTAACGAATAGATACGACAAGTAATGGCTGTGAACGGACGCCTACCTGGGAGCTGATAAAAGAGAAAAGAAGAGAGCAGACGATAGGAGAGCAGAGGAGAGCAGAGGAGAGGAGGTTGGTGTGGGAGAGGATTACTCATTGAAAAGATGGACAAGAAAAGGAGAAGCTGAGTTCACAACAATGTACACTGCACTGAATAAAGCAGTGAAGAAGAGTGCTAGGAAGGACAAAAGACAATTCTACGACACACTGGCTGGTAACCGATGCACAACAGACTGGTCACACATGAACCAGACCTCTGAACATGATATCAGATAGGCACCAGGTGTCTATGTGGAAAGACACCAACGCACATGATGGAACCCACAAAATAAGATGTCCGAGGGAAGCTGATTACCAAGGACAATGGTCTGGTCACTTCGAAGGACTCTTGAATCACCCAACACCTGAAAGTCGTCTAGAAAGAAATATGACCAGCAGTGACAGCACGCACAGAATAGCCTGGTGGCCGGTGGACACGAATCCTTGAGAGGAAGCAGAAATTCTGAATTCGATCAAGCTCCTGGAGTCCGGCGAGAGAGGTAGCAGGTCCAGATGGAATTCCCCTACACGGAGGCTCTGAAAACGGACTGATGGACTGCAGCTTATGTGCCACCTTGTCAAGCTGCCAAATAAGGGCGGACTAGGTGTCTTCAGTAGATTATCACTTGCTTCTCTGCGAGTCTTCTTTGCTCCTACATACTAGCTGACTCATAATTCTATATCATGCTGAGTGACTTACCAACAATAATCACTGAAATAGGCTATTTTTCCCTTTACATTCCAAGTGAAGCATAAAGCGCTTCAAGCTAGAGTTCTCAGGTTTCAATAGCAGTGGTTTCATTTTCACGGAGTGTAGTTTCTAGCTCCATGGTCAACATTAACCCCTTTTTATATCGAATTTACTACTGACCTAGCAGGGTGTAAGACTGCATAGGCCGAGGATCGAATCAAGGACCACATGCAAGTGTTCTATCTCTGTACCACCGACACCAAAAAGTAAAAAAAAAAATAATTGCCATTATTACAAAACAAACTTGTTTTCTGTTTCAAATAGCCATATTCAACAAACAAAACAAAAAACCAAAAAATTCCACACTAATCTCAAAAAATAAGGGTCTGTCAAACCGTGAACACAGTGTAAATCGAAACAAACACGTCAGTGTTGATAATTATAAGCTCAAAGGTTGTATTGTATATTTTGTGTTCCACTCGATAATTCAGAGGAGTGAAATAAATGGGCGATAAGAAATGGTTTACATTTTTTAACATGTCGAATAAGCTGTCTGTTGAACAATTAGAATGTATCAATAGAAAACTGTATATGTATATATACATATATATAAACATTCAGTAAATTATTAGTGTGTATCATTGTTCTACAATAATCATGTTATTGAAGGCCTTGCTAGTTTACATTCTATTCCTTTTTGGGAACTCTGTGAATACGGACGGTAAGTGTATATTGTTTATTCATATGTTAATGCATGTTTATTTATATTTCCATATGTATAAATATTTATATATATATATATATATATATATATATATATATATATATGAAAGGCAGGAAATAGAGACTGAAGCGGGAGATTAATGAATAATTGAATAAATTCATACTAGGTAGAATATATATATAGCTATGCATTATGTATTGTTATGATTTTGTTTGCGTACCGAATGAAATATTGGGCCTTCAACATCACATCTACATGACTCTCTCTTCTCTCCCATCCTTTTTGTGGTCTCGATCCAAACAACTACTCATAAGGCTTCATTTCCATCATTCCATCCATTTCCATCTATCATTTCCGCCTTACCTTCTACATCAAGAAGTTGAGACATTCTGGTATAACCCAACGTAACCCTTACACCTACTATTTGTCAACTCTCGCATTCTGCCTATTATTATCTATTGTTCCCCCTTAGTTTTTCCAGGGCTACTGAAGAAAGGCTATACCTTATTACACAGGATGTGAAAGGTTGTCAGCAGGGTGGTAAGCAACGTGCTACTTAACAACCAGCTTGTTAATATTCTAGTTGACAGGCACTCGGACTCATGTGAAAAATGGGCTAAATCCATTTTATCTATCTAACTCACACCACCCTCTTCGTTCACAACTCTCCCCTTGTATCATCTCATCAGGCAAACCAGAAGCCTGCCTATATAGAAAACTATATGCTCGCACTAGTAAGTACAAAAACCCAACTCAACCATACCCTACATAGTACGTGTTCTGTGCGATAAAGAAAGCATTAGGCGTGATACCTATAGCTTATTAAATAGTCACTTGAACAACTGGATCTCGTCTTCTCAACTCATTTTTAGGTACAACGCTTTCTCTCTTTATTTTCCTTTTCTCTCTCTCTCTCTTGTTTTCTCTCTGTTATGTGCTGCTTTGTTTCTTTCTTCTGCTTACTCCAGTAAATATGCTAGTAGTATCTACTTTTCTAACACCTTCAAACACTCTGTTCAATTTTGGCTTTGCTACCGACAAGCTGAAATGTTGTTGACAAACCTATCTGAGATTAACCATAATCTATGTAGAATTTTATTTATTTATTGATAATGTACTAACTGGATGCAATACTGTAGTGAAATGCTGAGAATTCCATTCTATATGACAAGTACTGTTTTGGAATAAAGCAAATTATTATTACTATTATATGATCTTCTCCAAGTCACACTAGAAACAAATAACCAACTCAAAGCTTTAAGATTTAGGTTCCCCTTGAGAGACAGAGAGAGAGAGAGTATACCGCGGAAGTGATGTCACTCAGAGATCTCCTCATCGTATGTTTAATCCATCTCGTTTGTTGACTTTGGTAGATTTGTTGAGTGAAACACTCTTGACTGGTTCGTTGGTTGGTTGGTTAGTTGGTTGGCTGATTTACAGAATTTTCTGTTCCTTGCTGAGATTCATTCCAGTAGGCCAGCCATCTGATCTGTATTATCAAGCCAACAATGACATATATTCATGGAAGTGTGCACTAACCTTTTGAAAATGCTTATGTTTATAACTAGTATCTCGAGTCTGTGAACTCTTATACAAGTACTGACTTGAAATTTGTGTTGAAGATGAGAATAATATTTGTGTTCATTCTACTGAAGATAGTAGTCGATCGATTTCCATAGTGCCTTCAGAGTAATAAGAGTCTCTATGTTTACTTCTCTGATCCTGTAATAAATATAAGATTTTAGTGAAAATGTATAACCTAACATTGACTGATTGAGATCATATATACACACATGCATGAATTATATACTGACTATCAACTATATTCATATGATCCTGAGATCAAGACATCAAAAGTGTTATGTAACAATTTATCTTGTTCAGATCGCCTCATTGTTTATATTCAAACCGTTTGAAATGGATAGAAAATAAGATCAAGTCTATCTGTGATAACTTGATGCATTTTGCTAATTCACGCATATGTTCACTCGTCATGTCGATGAAAAGTGAATTAAAATTTAAGCAGAATACAAAGTACATTTAAAAATAAGAAGGATAAGAATTGAACACTACTTATGATAATGTATTCAGTCAGATAATGAATTTAGAATGAAGAGAACACGAAGTTCAGAAAAGATGGCAATGTTTTCGATGATTTCATTCTCAAAAGCAGCTGTACGATCGCATTCACATAGATTATTGTTTTACATGGATAAAATAATTATATCAAATATTTAAATAATCCCATTTATAATATTAGAACAAGACGTAGAAGCGAACAATATTGTGTTCAATTAGATCTTCTCCATAAGATATTCTTTCAACAACTATTTGTTTAACTCCACATAGTATTAACAAGGTGTCTATCCATCTATCTATCTATCTATCTATCTATCTATCTATCTATCTATCTATCTATCTATCTATCTATCTATCTATCTATCTATCTATCTATCTATCTATCTATCTATCTATCTATCTATCTATCTATCTATCTATCTATCTATCTATCTATCTATCTATCTATCTATCTATCTATCTATCTATCTATCTATCTATCTATCTATCTATCTATCTATCTATCTATCTATCTATCTATCTATCTATCTATCTATCTATCTATCTATCTATCTATCTATCTATCTATCTATCTATCTATCTATCTATCTATCTATCTATCTATCTATCTATCTATCTATCTATCTATCTATCTATCTATCTATCTATCTATCTATCTATCTATCTATCTATCTATCTATCTATCTATCTATCTATCTATCTATCTATCTATCTATCTATCTATCTATCTATCTATCTATCTATCTATCTATCTATCTATCTATCTATCTATCTATCTATCTATCTATCTATCTATCTATCTATCTATCTATCTATCTATCTATCTTCTATCTATCTATCTATCTATCTATCTATCTATCTATCTATCTATCTATCTATCTATCTATCTATCTATCTATCTATCTATCTATCTATCTATCTATCTATCTATCTATCTATCTATCTATCTATCTATCTATCTATCTATCTATCTATCTATCTATCTATCTATCTATCTATCTATCTATCTATCTATCTATCTATCTATCTATCTATCTATCTATCTATCTATCTATCTATCTATCTATCTATCTATCTATCTATCTATCTATCTATCTATCTATCTATCTATCTATCTATCTATCTATCTATCTATCTATCTATCTATCTATCTATCTATCTATCTATCTATCTATCTATCTATCTATCTATCTATCTATCTATCTATCTATCTATCTATCTATCTATCTATCTATCTATCTATCTATCTATCTATCTATCTATCTATCTATCTATCTATCTATCTATCTATCTATCTATCTATCTATCTATCTATCTATCTATCTATCTATCTATCTATCTATCTATCTATCTATCTATCTATCTATCTATCTATCTATCTATCTATCTATCTATCTATCTATCTATCTATCTATCTATCTATCTATCTATCTATCTATCTATCTATCTATCTATCTATCTATCTATCTATCTATCTATCTATCTATCTATCTATCTATCTATCTATCTATCTATCTATCTATCTATCTATCTATCTATCTATCTATCTATCTATCTATCTATCTATCTATCTATCTATCTATCTATCTATCTATCTATCTATCTATCTATCTATCTATCTATCTATCTATCTATCTATCTATCTATCTATCTATCTATCTATCTATCTATCTATCTATCTATCTATCTATCTATCTATCTATCTATCTATCTATCTATCTATCTATCTATCTATCTATCTATCTATCTATCTATCTATCTATCTATCTATCTATCTATCTATCTATCTATCTATCTATCTATCTATCTATCTATCTATCTATCTATATCTATCTATCTATCTATCTATCTATCTATCTATCTATCTATCTATCTATCTATCTATCTATCTATCTATCTATCTATCTATCTATCTATCTATCTATCTATCTATCTATCTATCTATCTATCTATCTATCTATCTATCTATCTATCTATCTATCTATCTATCTATCTATCTATCTATCTATCTATCTATCTATCTATCTATCTATCTATCTATCTATCTATCTATCTATCTATCTATCTATCTATCTATCTATCTATCTATCTATCTATCTATCTATCTATCTATCTATCTATCTATCTATCTATCTATCTATCTATCTATCTATCTATCTATCTATCTATCTATCTATCTATCTATCTATCTATCTATCTATCTATCTATCTATCTATCTATCTATCTATCTATCTATCTATCTATCTATCTATCTATCTATCTATCTATCTATCTATCTATCTATCTATCTATCTATCTATCTATCTATCTATCTATCTATCTATCTATCTATCTATCTATCTATCTATCTTTTTTCTCAACACTATGCAACTTGTTTCTTTCAGCTCATGCTTTATTTCATCGAAGGGAGCTTTATGACTTCTTGATGGGTTCACTAGTCACTTCTTCTTCTGTGGACTATGAACATGAATCGTCAGTCGACAGACACATCCAGATAGACCAAATTTACCAGTCTATAAGAAGGAAACCTCAAACACAAAGGGTCAAATTTTCAGTCAGGTTCAGCAATCAGTTCCAATACAAGTAGCCTCATAGAGAGTGTGTAAACATACATAAACCTGAATGAAGTATTAAATCTATTTGAATACATTAACATGATTGTGAGAAGCAATAAATTGTACTCCAAACGTGAATAGTACTATATATCATTGTATGATTTTATTGAATACATTTATTCTATGATAGGATCACAATGTTGCTCAACAACCTCTGTGTTGCATTTGTTACTTTCCTTCAATTCAATCGTTAGTTGATAAATGTGTTTTCTGATATGAAACTATCCACACTGTAAACCTAAACTATTTTGTTTTTAATCTTTATATTTTTCTTTCAGATAAATGTGTATATTATGGAGAATCTTGCGACACTTATTATTGTTGTGAAGGTCTTGGATGTTATGGTGGAATCTGTAGGCTGTGTAGAGCAGGAGGGTCACCTTGTATGTATCATACTTCATGTTGTTCAGAATATTGTAAATGGACCTTTCATTGTACAGAGGCTGGTGAAATTTATGCTGATTGGTATCAGTATTAAGATATATATATATACTCATCCCGTACAAACAACTTGTTTGGTATCACTTCTCAAAACATTTACTAATTATTTAACCTATTATTGAATTCAATTTTGTTTGAACTACAAAAACGTATAAATATATCTTGTTTCAATTTTAACACTGACAACATTTTATAATTTGAAATTACTAGGGCACTTCATTGCCCTAAAAGCATTCAATGAGACTACCTCAAGTAAAATGTCAGACTCACATATGCAAGAACTTGGTTGAATTTTGTGAATCTTTTTTCTATACATTACAGTTAATTTCTGCACAAATTCAACTGGAATTCTCCTCACTGTAATAGAGTGTATCGAAATACCCGACAAGTCAAAACGATATGCGCTTAACCAGTTGAACCTATCATTAATAAATTCATATATCGGATTTAGGAGGAAATTAGTCACGAGGTAATTCGTTGTCGATCAAGATCTTGACCAATATTTATAACTATCAGTATTGCTTGATTGTCGAAGAAGCAGCCGGTGAAGACAGGACTCAAAGTGAACATAGACAAGACAGAGGTCATGAAAATAACCAACAACAACAACGGCAGTAGCAAAATACAGCCACCAGCCAATCACCATCAACAGGAGGGATTTGAAAGAAGTTAGTGACTTCATTCACTTATCTAGGGAGCATTGTGCTCCTCAACTACAGGCAGTCGGAACGGACGAGAATGTCAAATCCAGCGAGAATCGGGAAGACGACAAACACATTCATCAACCAACCTGAAACCAATCTGGAAATCTTCGTCACTCAGCCAGCATCAACAACAAAATTCGGTAGGATTTTCAATACAAACGTCAAGTCAGTCAGTCAGTTCTCCTATACGGATCAGAACCTTGGTGGGTGGGTCACAAAGAATATTTCCAACAGCCTGTTGCAAACCAGACCTTTATCAACAACTGTCAACTATCGCTCTATACTGAAGATCAGATGGCCGGGCCGGGCCGGAAACAATCACCAACAAGAAACTATGGCTGGGAACAAACAAAAGAATAAGCAATCGCCCAACAAATATGCAGGAGAAAGTGTATTGGGATGGATTGGACACTCGTGGCTGAGGAGGCCGCCACTGGGTGACAGCGCGCACGCGTCAGGCCATTGCTCGAGTGGAACCAGGCTGAAAGGGAAGCGGCGAGTGGGAAGTCAGTGTAAGGGTGACATGGAGGAGGTCGTGTGATGAGGAGTTGAAAGAGTATGGACTAACTAACATGGATGCAGGTGTGGTGAGAGCAGACTGCTAGCCGATTGGTTGACACTAATCTACGTTAATGTCTAGGTCACTAATATGGGCCGTGAGAAAATATGAACAAGGCTGTTTCAACAACCAATCACAGCAAACTTAAATGTGGACAAATATGATTCGCAGATAGATGGCTCTACTTTCCGAGAAATATCGAAAACAACCAATCATAAGACTGCCTTTTTCTGCTTGCATAAGCCTTATTAATGCACATAAAATATATATATATACGTGTTGATTTTCGTAATAAAACGATCTGTTGCCAGCCCTTGTCTTCTGTTGTTACATTTGGTGTCGCTGCCTCCAAAAAGATGAAGATCCCGTGGCCAGCTGCGTTTGAAGAAGGAGACATACGGAGCTTCTTACGTGACTTCGAGGCCGTTGCTGAGCTGGTGGGTGTCAAGGAGCAGGCGGCGAAGGCAGTTGTCCTGGGGACGCTGTTGAGAGGCCGAGCGAAGGCTGCATATGACAGCGTAGACAGGTCAAATGGCACAGCGTCTTGGAAGAAATTGGTTGAACGACTAGTGTCCGAGTTTGACAGCGAAACAGACAGACAGCTAGCAATGCAGCAGTTCCGGTCAATGAAGCTTGGACCTGATGGAGACCCGCTAGTGTTGGCGGTGAAACTGACTAATCTACTTCGACGCGCGCTTCCCACTTTAGATGAAGAATCAGAAGCGCAGTTACTGTCTTCCCAATTCATCGAGAGTGTCCCAGACCACATTTCTCAGCGATTACAACTGGTTAACGCAACGCAGCCGATGGATATTAGTGAGCTGGCGAAGGTGACCAGACAGCTGCTGAGCACAACGGTAGCCGCTATAGACCAACCAAAACCAAACGAATATGAGCAGAAAATTGAAGCATTGCAGCGGGAAGTGGCGGCGTTAAAGTTGGCTGATAGAAAAGACCGGTGTTTTGAATGCGGTAAGCCGGGACACTGGAGAAGATACTGCCCAGAAAGGCGAAAAAGAAAAAATTTCAGACGGTATAATGCTTTTTCTTTCTTTCGTATGAACCTAGATTTAGTGGGGGCTATTGAGAAAGGGGCTCTGTATTCGAAGTTGCGAGTGAATGATCGAGAAGTAGTATGTTTGGTAGATACAGGGGCGGCCGTGTCGTTAATAGATAAGAATTTATGTAAGAGTGTTAGTCTGTGTTCATTGACAGTACAAACAGTAGGCGGGTATGTGTTGCGTATCACGGGTAGATCAAACTGTATGGTCGTTGTTGGTGGCTGCGAGGTGACGTTTCCTTTCATTGTTGTACCCGAACTACAGCGAACGATATTAGGAGCGGATTTTCTGCGTGAGATTGGTGCAATAATCGACACGCAAGCGAACGTGGTGATCACAAAATACGGGCATATCAACATGTATGAGACCAGAAGATGAGTCTGAGTTGCCCGAGGTCGCTTACGGAGTGCATGCAGTAGAACAAGACCCACTAAGACTTGCACGTAGGCAGAGGTTGGACGATACGCTGAATACAGTAATACAGGTGATCACCAACGGAATAGAAGTGGATCAAACTACGGCGAGTAAGGAGCTAACCACACTACTCAGACAGAGGGATCGACTCAGAGTGAATGCCTACGGGACTCTGACCTGGCGAGAGAACGACGGAAGCTGGCTGGCTGTCATACCTCAATCGTCGCGCCACGACATGATAGAAGAATGTCACCAGCTAGCGCATACAGGCGTGGCCAGAACGACCGACCTCCTAAGACAAAGTATGTACTGGCCAGGTATGAGAGAAGACGTAGCAAGATACGTACTTGGATGTCCACGGTGCCAGCTGATGAAAGGTGACCGGTATATACGACCACCACTTCAGTCGATTCCAGTTACCGCGATAGGTGACTTGTGGTCCGTAGATGTCATGGGTCCATTTCCTCAGACATCCAATGGTAATCAGTACCTCTTGGTGATGACGGAACACGCGACACGATGGGTAGACGCCGTAGCAATCCCAGACCAACGTGCAAGAACCGTGACAGATGCAGTAGTTAGACACATTGTTGCAGACCACGGCGTACCGAAGACAATACTGACAGACCAAGGTCCCTGTTTCGAGAGTGAAGAGTTTACTTCCCGTTTGCAACAGCTGGGCATCAAGAGGATCAGAACGACCCCATACCATCCACAAACGAATGGCCTAACGGAGAGAAACAACCGTACACTGAAGGAGTGGCTGGCCTCGAAGGGCGGGAACTGGGAAACGGAGCTTCCACTGATTTTACTAACACATCGGGCTACCACTCAGGAAACAACGAAGAAGTCACCCTTCCAACTGATGTATGGTAGAAAACCACGATTACCGGTACACAATGAGACCTGGCCCATGCACCAAAAGTGGAGTACGACGAAATTAAAAGCAGAGAGGAAAGAGGCAGTCAAGAATGTAATACGGAAGCAGCGCAGTGATGTCGCGAAGTCTCAGATGAAAGAAAGGACGCAGTGCATTACCTTTGCAGTCGGGGACCAAGTGAAGTGTAGAGACAGGAGATATACAGTTGGAGGCGGGCTAGGTTCACGGAAACTCCTTCCAAAGTGGGAAGGACCATACACAATCACAAAAAGACGGGGTCAAGTATATACCATCCGAAGAGGTGATAAACAGAAACGAGTTAACGCCAGTCAGCTCCAAAGATGGGTACAGTGGGACAAGCCGGTCAGTAACAATCCTCAACTAGAGGATGTAGCACCCAGAAGGTCGGAACGTCTGCGCACGAAGCTATTTGACGGGGGGACGAGTGTGGTGAGAGCAGGCTGCTAGCCGATTGGTTGACACTAATCTACGTTAATGTCTAGGTCACTAATATGGGCCGTGAGAAAATATGAACAAGGCTGTTTCAACAACCAATCACAGCAAACTTAAATGTGGACAAATATGATTCGCAGATAGATGGCTCTACTTTCCGAGAAATATCGAAAACAACCAATCATAAGACTGTGTTTGTCTGCTTAACTTCCGAGAAACAACCAATCAGAAGACTGCCTTTTTCTGCTTGCATAAGCCTTATTAATGCACATAAAATATATATATATACGTGTTGATTTTCGTAATAAAACGATCTGTTGCCAGCCCTTGTCTTCTGTTGTTACATTTGGTGTCGCTGCCTCCAAAAAGATGAAGATCCCGTGGCCAGCTGCGTTTGAAGAAGGAGACATACGGAGCTTCTTACGTGACTTCGAGGCCGTTGCTGAGCTGGTGGGTGTCAAGGAGCAGGCGGCGAAGGCAGTTGTCCTGGGGACGCTGTTGAGAGGCCGAGCGAAGGCTGCATATGACAGCGTAGACAGGTCAAATGGCACAGCGTCTTGGAAGAAATTGGTTGAACGACTAGTGTCCGAGTTTGACAGCGAAACAGACAGACAGCTAGCAATGCAGCAGTTCCGGTCAATGAAGCTTGGACCTGATGGAGACCCGCTAGTGTTGGCGGTGAAACTGACTAATCTACTTCGACGCGCGCTTCCCACTTTAGATGAAGAATCAGAAGCGCAGTTACTGTCTTCCCAATTCATCGAGAGTGTCCCAGACCACATTTCTCAGCGATTACAACTGGTTAACGCAACGCAGCCGATGGATATTAGTGAGCTGGCGAAGGTGACCAGACAGCTGCTGAGCACAACGGTAGCCGCTATAGACCAACCAAAACCAAACGAATATGAGCAGAAAATTGAAGCATTGCAGCGGGAAGTGGCGGCGTTAAAGTTGGCTGATAGAAAA